TGGAGGAAGAAGACTTTTAACCACTGGCGTCAATTTGTACAAGGGATTAATCTCGCTGAAGGAGATGGAAGTCGGGAGCGGTCGCGATCAAGAGCATCGTCTTCCATGAGTCGCAGCCGGTGCAGCAGCTTCATGGAGACGATCGATGACGGCGTCATTAGCAGCACGAACAGGCTGCTTGATATCGCACCCGCACTGCACATTATAGTCCCGTACCTGCGTGTCGACGAGATATACCGTTTGACGCTCACGAACAAGACAATCTGCCGAGAAGTTGGTCGAGCAACACACGCGCTCTCGTTTATTCCAGCTCGGAAGGTGATTTTCGACGAGAATTTGATGAGTCTACCAATGCAGTTTCCTCATCTGAAGGAGGTTAACCTTACAGGCTGCTCGAGCCTCACCGATGAATCTGTTGAGCAGCTCGCCAACCTGTCTGGACTAACATCTGTGGCGCTGAAAGGATGCTACCAGGTGACTGACAAAAGCATCAAGCTACTCACCGAGTCGCAGTCGAACTCGCTCACGTCGGTCAATCTCGGATATTGCAAAGTCGTGAGTGACGAGGGGATTACAGCCATTGCCTCGAATCTATCGAAGCTCAACTACCTAAATCTTCGCGGCTGTAGCCAAGTCGGCGACAACGGAATTCGTGCTCTTGCTCGGCTCAAGAACCTCCAGACGCTCAATCTCTGGTATTGCAACCAAGGAGCTCTCACAGACGGCGGTATCTCCGCGTTGGCGGAGGTGACGTCGCTTACAAGTCTCAATTTGTCGAACTGCAGTCAGCTGACGGACGAGGGCATCAGCTCACTCAGCACGCTTGTGAAACTCCGACACTTGGAGATTGCAAATGTTGGAGAAGTCACCGATCAAGGCTTTTTAGCTCTAGCACCGCTAGTTAACCTCGTCACATTGGATGTGGCAGGATGCTACAATATCACCGACGCAGGCACCGAGGTGCTCGTGAATTTCCCAAAGCTAGCATCCTGCAATCTTTGGTACTGCAGCGAGATCGGCGACGCTACGTTCCAGCACATGGAGTCTCTGACAAAGATGCGATTCTTGAATTTCATGAAATGCGGCAAAGTCACCGATCGAGGACTGCGGTCCATCGCGAAGCTCCGCAATCTGACATCGTTGGACATGGTGAGCTGCTTTAACGTTACAGACGAGGGTCTCAACGAGCTGTCGAAGCTAAATCGACTCAAGTCGCTGTACTTGGGTGGCTGCTCTGGCATCCGAGACGAAGGCATCGCAGCGCTGTCTCACTTGAGTTCATTAGTGATCTTGGATCTCTCGAATTGTCGCCAGGTGGGTAATAAGGCTTTACTGGGGATCGGTGCGTTGCGCAACCTCCACGAACCTCAATCTCATGCGCTGTAATCCGCATCGACGACGATGGGATCGCTCATCTCGCGGGACTCACGCGCTTGAAGACACTGAACCTGGCAAATTGCCGTCTTCTCACGGATAGGGCGACGAAAACTGTTGCGCAGATGACGGGACTGGAGTCTCTGGTGCTGTGGCACATCAAGTGCCTTGATCACATTGTCAAACTTGATCTTTAGTTGTTCCGTGGGCTGTGTACTCTAAACACAGATATACTGATTTTTGCGGGATCCTAGCAATCGTGTTACTGCTCATGTCAACCATGAAACGTTATTGTGTTGGATAACGGTTCTAATGCTTACAGGATCTCGCAGTCCATTTTCATATGACATATTAACCCCAACAGCCCCTTTTGGTAGGACAAAAAATAGGACCAATTCTCACTTCTGTTGCTTGCCACAAGCAAATAAAAAAACAGCAATTAGATGCTAGGCATGGCCACCCAACACATTAAGCAGCAATATAAACCCGTTTGTGATGAAAGCAACTGAAATCTTGCTTCGTGCATAACGACTGAAACTTGGCGCCGTGAAGAGCTACGTGACGACGATTTGTCCTACATACCAGGCCAAAAATTTGTCCTTTTCCATAGGACAAAGTTTAAGGAGCACTTATTCCTGCTCCTGTAAGCGCAGTGATCGCCTACGCTTCTTGCTTTGTAAGCGCACACTCGGAGCACGCTGCTTTGAGGTATTCAGCTAGTTCCGTTGAGGGTTTGGTGCGGTTCTAACCCGCGAGTTTTGTCTTGTACTCGGGAGAAGCTGCTCGGGTGCTTCACACGGCTTTGATAGCTCTTGATCAGTGTGAAATCTGGTGTAGCACGACAGTTGACCGACCCAGCGCTCGGTACGACACAGAGCAACCCCACAATCACTGCACTGATACCGCGTTTTATAACCTTTCCGAGTATGTCCGGCATTTTCTTGGTCGTGCTTCAGCTGGCAGCATAGAACACAGCATAATTGTGTAGATTCACCTTCAATTAATATCTGGTACGAAGTCCACGGGTTAGAGCGTACATATGTCAAAATGTTTCCAGATCAAATAGCCTTACGTGGTCGTGTTTCAATCGCCCTGATAGCCGTCGATTTATCCACTCCGGATCTCTGTCGTAGTGATCTCTCTTTTTGTAAGCAAAACCTCGCCCCGACCACAGCTCATGTGTGTCATTTTCATTATCTCCCGGAAGCTTTTCCAGTGATCGCAGAACGCGCGTTGTGTCGGAGGTGGCAGGGGCTCCGAGGGAAAGAGCTGCATCACGGCAAAAACCTTTAAAACTGGAGAGATTGTGTTTGTAGCTTTGGTACGAGGTATACGACAAACACCGCGTGTTGTCGCGCAGGTGGTCTTCCGCCTAGTCGTGTATACACTATGATGAAAAGGAAGTAAGAAAAGAATTGTAAAGATCACATTACCTGAAAGAGTTGGTGTGAC